TATCATAAACATTGAATGTTATGTAAATATATTTACTTCTATGCAAATAAGAATAAAAAACACCACCTACACACACCTATGGAGCATAGTATGTTTGCAATTGCATGTTTAGTTTTGATGGAGTTCCCTCATTTATGGTACTAACTAGAAAACACAAAAATATTCATGCACGTAAATAGAAAAAGTATTGATATTAATATGTCTTAATTGACACAATTTTAGGCTGTGCTCTAATAATGATTGTACAGATATAAAATGATATATACATGTTACTGATGCGGTAAAACGCATTCAATTCTATAAACCATAAAAAAAAATCATATTTGAAAAAGAAAATTTGTCTATTGTTTTATATTGGTTTATAGTATCTTTAATAACATGAATATCATTCTCTTTTTTGTTACGTACTATAATTTAGGAGTAAAAGATGAGCAACAAAATATGAAACATAATTGCAATCTCAGTGGTCTTATTCCGTGTCCCGTGCTAGGAAGCATTACTCCTCTTTTCATTCCAAATTCAAGAATATGACCGATACGATTGATTGGTCTGTGCGCTTCTCTTATTACTTTTTTGTATCCCCCTGTTCCTCGGATACAATTCGATCCTTCTACGGCCAAATCTCAATTTGTGGAAAGCCTTCGATGGCTTCCTTATGAAAACATCCATTTTTCTATGGGTATAGACGGTCTTTCATTATTCTTCGTAATATTGACCACATTTCTTATCCCTATTTGCATTTCAGTGGGTTGGTCTGGTATGAGAAGTTTTGGGAAAGAGGATATTACAGCATCTCTAATTCGTGAATTTCTCATGATCGCCGTGTCCCGCATGCTGGATCCTCTACTATTCTATGTTCTTCCCGAAAGCGTGCCAATCCCTATGTTGTGCGGAGCTGAGCATCTTCTATTCGCTGGGATCAAGCTTTTCCTCTGCAGGGGCCTTGTGCAGTCAACCCCCTACGGGCGGTCCTCCGTCGTCGTCAAGTAGTAAAAAGTCAAGTCTTCCCCGCGAAGCTTTCGGGAAGAGGGGTAGTCTTGTGCGTCAGCATAGCATTTCTGGTCGAACCACCGAACCACACATCTTTTTTTGGTGGGAGGGTACTCCGAGTAGTGGGTACCCCGTAGGACCTCGACCCGCCTACTCGGGTCTTGTATGGATATGCAGGAAGGGGTGCTCCTAGGTGTGTGTAGGGGGTGTGTTTGTTCGCGAGAATGGATTCCCGTTTGCAATTGCATGTTTAGTTTTGATGGAGTTCACTCATTTATGGTACTAACTAGAAAACACAAAAATATTCATGCACGTAAATAGAAAAAGTATTGATATTAATATGTCTTAATTGACACAATTTTAGGCTGTGCTCTAATAATGATTGTACAGATATAAAATGATATATACATGTTACTGATGCGGTAAAACGCATTCAATTCTATAAACCATAAAAAAAAATCATATTTGAAAAAGAAAATTTGTCTATTGTTTTATATTGGTTTATAGTATCTTTAATAACATGAATATCATTCTCTTTTTTGTTACGTACTATAATTTAGGAGTAAAAGATGAGCAACAAAATATGAAACATATATACAATACGTGAACCTAATCTAAACTAAATTTATGATCGTTTTAACTTACTTTTTTTCTACAGTGGCTTTTCAATTGTTAAATATTAGTTATAAAATATATATCTAAAAAAATTATTTTTTATAGTTCGACAGGCCATTCCCGTTTTGGTTAATTCCAAGCCCAAGCTGGGTCGTGACACAAGCAAGGTTTAGTTAGGACATTACTGAGACATGGCTCAACCACAAACTAAGATTTACATAAAAGATAAAATTCGAAGCATAATGATAAAAAAAAATGCCAACTTATGCAAACACAAAATGACGATCCTAAAACAAGAACATTAAGGATAATGAAAGTATAAATAAAAATATAAAAACGCGCACACATAAGCGAAAATACAAAAGAAAGATTTCTACAGCAGGAAGAAGATTTAACCAAGCAGGTGGAGATCCGACAGCTAAGTTAAGATCTCAATACCATGTAAGTTTGGAGAATTTTGTTCAATACCTTAATTGATACTATATGTTGGCTTAAATACGACTTACATAATCCTAAATTTAGAAAAGAAATAACACTCAAATCCATAGGCAAACCAAGAAAGAGTCGGGGGGGGGAACGGAGGCCCACCACCACCCCCCCCCCCCCCCCCCCACTAAATTCAATTTTTTTAATTATATGAGAGGATAATTTAGCCTTTTGTCTTTCTTGAAATATCAATTTTGCCTCTCATGAAATATCACTTTGCCCTTCGTTATCCTAGTTGCACCCATGTCGGGTCTAGGGAGGTCGTTCGCCGCCCCTCAAAAAAGAAGCTGACTCCGCCCCTGCCCATATCTCCTAAATTTTGGAAAGAATAACACCCATATCTCCTTAACTTAGGAAAGAAATAACACTAATATCTTCAAGATTATGACAATCAAATCAAACAAACTAAAAATAGAAACTTATAAAACTAACCGGAAATAAAAGGAAATACATACATAGAAAAAAATAGGAAATAAGTAAAACTATAATTAAACTTCTATCAATTTTAATTATTATTGGCCACTGCTTGATGTTTCATGAACTTCTCAATATTAAGCAGCTTTATTATTACTCTCGTTTTTACCCACACTAGCTGCTGACCAACACTACATATTGTTCCGTTTACTACTATCAAATATTACATTAAATTTCATTAACTCACTGAGCTTGTAAATCACTCATCATATATTATGTTGTATTTCAGAAAGAGTTTAGTAATAAATAGACACGGCCTCGTGAATTACCTTTTGCATGGCTTTTGAATTGTAAAGATTTAGGCTTTTGAATTGTAAAGATTTAGGGATGATTTCGAAGATTTTTGCGGGGTACTATTTTTGCATGCACTTTTGTGATTTTGATACGAATGAATATTGAATGAAATAAATTGTAAGTTTCTGCTTGTGATGATTTAGAGAAATAAAACCTTCACTTATTTAGTCCTAATTTGTGTAATTCAAGATAAATGTGGGTGAGAGTTGAGTTTAACTAGCACATTCTCCTCTGTTACACATCTGTTTGACCCAAGGGGGTTACTTGGGAAGAAAAATCAGGACCCAAACACAAAGTTCAGATATTATGTAAAAATAGACGAATGGCTAAAAAGCATGTAATGTCTATCATGCATGGAAAGAAGATTTACACACACATAATTATTTGAAATCGTGCCATCTAAGACATGTCACAGAAGTTAGGGCACAAAAAGATGACCTCGCGTTAACAAATTGTGCTTAAAGACAATAGGTTTATGCGTGATGGAAAACAATCGAGGCTTAAAGCTTAGTTTGTGTGAGGTGCTCCTTATTGCTTTTTTTATGATGTTTAAAACCTCAATTTATTATGTTACTAGCGTCAGATTTTTCTTAATTTTTCCCCTCAAACGCAAATGCCATATGACTTGCAACTAATTTTACATCATTAAAATAAAAAATTAAACTGCGAGTTGCACAAAATCTCAACATCAAAGTGTTAGGTCTTACGATTTCGTCCTCAAGATTGGTTGTACATAAAAATAATATTCTCATTAAATTTTAGCAATCAAAGAAAATGAGGTTGATTGAGATTAAGATTGAAAAGATAAAAAAGAATGCTGATACAAGTGAGGGTGTAAGAAAAGTAAAAGCATTAGATTTTACAATCTTAAACTTCTTATGTGCCGAAATAGGAGGGAGAGACTTTATTTTAGACTTCGTCTATATGTTTACTAATTAATCATAGATGGATACTTCTGCTTAATTTTTTATTATGATGTTATTTTGAATAATATTATTTCTCTTTGATGTCAGTACTTTACTTATTATTTTAAATTTTTCACTAATTTAATGATTTTAGTTTAAAGCTTATATCTCAAAATGCCTTGAGGCTCGAGCCTCACCTCAACAAAAACCTCAATATGAGATTACACAATTTCAAACTTTGTGACATCAAAGTAAGTAGGATAGTAACTACAACCACTTTAAATTTTTTTCATAAGTTCCCAATGAAATTTATGGAGACCAACTAGGCAATATTTGGCCCTTAGCTTTCTCCATTACTAAAACTTGCCAACTTCAATTCATAGATGTTGTAGCCTAAAGCTTGCCCATCTGTGAGACCAGAACATACATTTTATGTTTTTCCAAACGGATTGTAAACGCCTGCATCCTGCCTTTTATGTTTTGTCAATTCTATCGTATAAGTCTACGGACTCACCTTTCTTGGAGCCGCAGTCTTCCACACTAATTATCATGCATGGATTAAGATTTATTAGGTCATTCTTTTGTAGAAACCCTCCAGATTCAATGATTTTTGGATCTTATCGCTATCTCCCATGACATTTCTATGCTTTCTCGCTCACACAAATTTTTTATATACTGAGTCTCTTCCATCAATTTCTCTCCTACTTTCTTTCTTGCCTACCATTGCCTGTCCATCTTCTCCAAAAAATTCAATTATCTATGTTTCCATTTCCAATCCCCCCCTCTTCTTCCCACATCAAATTTCTTTTCTCTTCATTATTATTTTCCTTGTTTCCTTCCCTTTTGCTTCCCTTCCTCATTCCATAATTATCCAACTATTGGATATCAGGAACTAATTATTTGTAACCCATATATAGAATTTCATGGCAGCTTGAAATGAAAATTATATAGGTTGGCTGAAGTTTATCAGTATGGAGTTCCACAAATTAAGATCAAGTAAATTAATGCACATTATCAAAAGACACCCAAAAAAAGAGAAATCGCTGCAAATGATCACAAAAAACTATTGCATAGTAGGCCCACATTAAGAAGCCCCAAAAAATAAGAGAAATCGCCACAAAATGACCACTAAAAACTACATCATAGTAAGGCCACACCGACATAAAAAGCACCTTCAGTCACTTCAATACGGTATGAAAGCATAAATAATTGGCTTAAATGAAAATAAATAAAAACCTTATCAAGAAGCCGTTTTGGATGCTGAAATGCTTGCTTTTTTGCCCATTGGTGAAATAAATGTGAGACAATCAACCGTTCTTCAATGTTGAAGCTACCAAGTTAAAAAGAAAAAAATTGGAGCAAATACAAACTCAAATGTAAATATAAGTTGCATGAGCTACATAACAAATTTGCCAAAGATAGTACTTTACAAATACCTCTTCAAAAAATTATCCCCAACACAAGCATCTGGCATTTCTATGTAACTGTCTGGAAAATCTTTGCCGCTACAGTTATTCAATACTTCAGATGATGATGCACATTTCAGATCATTTCCAGTTTTATTAACCAAACCTCCAAGTTTATTTACTTGTGACTCACGCTACAGATCAATTTGTACAACAAACAAAAGGTGATTACAGAATTTTTTGCTTTTTATTCATAGAACTCAACAATGACAAAATATTCTTCTCAAATGCAAAAATCCAAAAAATTGAAAATTCTGAACATCGATCATATATTAAAGACATAGAGCTACACTAATAAGAAACTTAAGTATCACTAAATAATTTCAATTTGATAAATGTTCTGGACATGCAAATAAATATTAGATTTAATAATCTTTCCTTTAATTCAATAAAAATAAATTTTCACATAGACATGATTTAAGATGGTCTATTGTTAAAAGAATGAATGCTCAACTAAATTCAATAATTTAATAACAGTTACTTTATGAATTTGAAATCTTAAGAAATTTTTAAAAACATATAAAAAACTCAACTATATTTGTTCAAAAAATCCTATCATATCCGTAAAAACTTTAGCCTTTATCTGCAGAAGATATGTCATTAGTAACTTTCATGTATAGCTTACCGTTTGGACGATAGTATATATGTCAATTTTAAACAGTGATGTATAAAATTTTCATTAATCCAAAGTAAGCAATTATTATAGATCGCATGTAATAATAACACTTTTTAAGTAACAATTGAAAGAAATTAATTCAAAAGAAAATAATAAATTTACATAAATCAAGTAAAAAAGTTATTAGTACCTTAAATTATGATTTGAATTAATGTTAGGAAAAGTTACCTAACGACACATGTTAACAGGGACCACTTTTAACAAGAAAAGAAATAACCAAGTTTGTCATCAAGGCAAACAATTAAGTTTTTATTTATAATAATTAAATTTATTCTCTTAAATCAAATGGAAATAAATACATTTAAATTTTTTTTTTTCATTATATAGTTTTAAATTCTTACTAAGTCTCTCTCCTACAACTTAAAATTTTCATATTTCATATGAAGACCTACTAGCATATAATTTAAGATCATGCATGAGTTTAATAGAAGAAAGAAAAAATATATGACGTAAGTGCGTGTTTGTATATGTATATGTATTTTTTTTTTAGAAAAAGCCCAAGGGCTAATATATTAAAACGGAAATGATACAGAAAAGTTGTATGAGAGAGCCTAAAAGAAAACCCAACTCACACAATACAACACACACAAACTTAAATAAAAGGAAGATACACAAGGGTAAACAAAAAACTAAAAAGCCACCAAAGGGCGCAAAAGTACTAGGGACCTCTAGTCCTCAGAAGTGAGCCAACTAACAAATTGGTAAGGTGAGTACCATTATCCGGAGTAACCAAAGTATCATCCATCAGATTTTTGAGCTCAAGTATGTTTTCATTCTTCTTCTTCCTCCTGGATTTGAGGACCTGTCATTCCTTATTCGATGATTGACTCATTTGATCAGTAGACTCCAAAGTTTGGTCGGACAGGTGTGGGTTGTTGCTGTAACATTTGAATCATTATCTCTATGAGTCTGAGTAACATCAACAACTTGCTCGAGCTGATGAGGCGGTAGTGAATCAGTAGAAGTATTTCCAAATGTAATATCTGTGATAGGTTCTAGAACAGAAGGGGTCTGAAGAATCTCGCTCTATCCCACGATTGGAGGTTCCAAAGACATGGGAGTGATAACATACTGTGGCGACTGAATTGTTGTTATATTGCCTGCGAGAATAGTGACATCTTTATGGGTATCCTTTTGTACTTAGAGCTCATCAGGAGTGGATGAATTCACTGCCTCTGGCAGAACACTGTGTTTTTTTTTATCTGAGGTTAGGATGTAGATGGTGGCATTGAGAACTGGAGTGGCCGAATATACGACAATTTAAACAATACGAAGGAAAAAAGCTCGATCACTAGATTTTGTCAATATCCATGGTGACATATGTCCAACCAAATTTCCTCATAAACGGATGAAGTGATGTCTCATTCAACAAGAACTTTAGCTTCAGATGGACGAGAAAGATTGAAAGTAGAAAAAACCGTTTTAAGTGGCGTATCATAAGCTGAGGCAATAAAGTACAACACTTTTGCGTAAAGTAATGAATTTCAAACCAAGAAGTCGAATCCAAACCGGAATTATAGCTGGTTTCGCCTGTGGGACAAAATCTACAGACCATTTCAAAATCTTCATTGCTTTGTTATCAATTCAGATTAACTTTCTCACAAATAAACGTGTATAGTCCTCTTCATTATTTAGTTGTATAAGACTGTGGTGTCCATCTAACAGTACAATTTTTCATTCCCTAACAAGGGGCATAAGTTCAAATTCCCTGTGAATCAGCTCCATTTTGGGATGGTCATACAAAAATCTCCCGACAAAATTCGGTCGACGAGAGGAAGCAAGTTGAATACCTTCAGCTTCAAGAAAAAAAATGACAAATTTCACATTTTTTCTACCAGGTTTTGTTATATCCTCCGCCCACTTCAACGAAGGAGAGAAAGAGCATCATTTAGGTGTACCGGAGGCGTGAAAACCCGCAAGGGCAGCAACATACGATATGTCTGAAGTCATCCCCAATAGAGAGAGGAAAAGTGTTAAGAACAGGGAAGACAGCAAAGCAGAGAGCAACCTCCAAAACCAAAAAAAGGGAGCAAATCGGAAGCCCCTGCAACAGCTTGGGCCTGAGGACGACCTGCTCAAACAGCAGTTTCGAATTGCGTAGGAAGTTAGAAGACGCTACAACCAGTACTGACCGCGACGAGTGATCCCGACGCAACAAACAACAAATAAGCAGCATCGCACGAATGAACACAGACGACGCACTTTGGCAGCGACAACAGAAGCAGAAGAGACGGAAATGACGAAATCGTAAAAACAAAGGTTGATCAACGAAGAGCTACAGTGGAGAAATAACCAGGGATCGCCATGGCGAAACGCTAGCTGAGCGCGCCATATATTCACTTGTATATATGTATTAAAGGTTGATCGGCGATCAACCTATAGTCTTGACCGAGAGACGGAACGCCCTTCCAAAAGGACTATCAAACTTGAGAGGCTTACCGTAAATTGTTGATAAGGAGTACAGAATTTCTAAGTTGAACAAATGTAATTTTAACTCCAGAAACTTTATCCAAACAAAAATAATAGGGGACTCCGCTTCTGGATCAAAATCAACAAGCCACTCCAAAATTATCATATAACAGTTGTCGATCCTGATAACTTTTTGAGAAAAAATGTGAGTGTAATCAGTATCACGAGACAATTGAATAAGTATATCTCACCGTCAAGTAAACCAATATTCCAACTGGCCAACAGCTTCGTAGCATCAAAATCTTTCCGAATGATCTCAAGTTTTTAGTGACCATAAAAAATTTTCCCACTAGAGCAAAGAAGACGTGAGAGTGCTGGTTTTAACCTCTAAGAGAATAAAAGCAGGCTTCCCATTTTTTTACCAAGTTTTTTAATGAAAGTGCGATCACCACCACCTTCAAGAACCTCGTAGAAAGATTGTGAAACATTGTAGGACTTGCCAGTACAAAAATCAGTCTCTAGACCTAAAAGAGGAGTAAGAGTAGAAATAAGAAAGTCGTCGGCAAGTGCAGTGGCATAGAAACGAAACGTCGATGTCATCTCCTCCAACAAGATGGTGTCAGTCGGGCAGGAGAGCAAATAGTCGCGTCGTGTGGAAGGAGACGACTGCGAAGGAGAAGTGTCGTCGACTACAGAAGATGACTGTAAGAAGGAAGAGCCGTCGTCTATGGGAATAAGACGATGTTAGTAGGAGACGTTGTCGACTACGGGAGACAACAACGACGATAGCGAGGGCGAGTGTGTCGACTGCGGGAGAGATGTCGTCAAGTAGAAACGACACGAGCCGCGACTAAGAAGGAAAGCGTCGTCGACTACGGGTGACGTCGATTGCAGAGACGACGCGAGCGAGCGTTGTCGAGAAAGCTGCGAGGGCTTGAAAACGTCGTTGCAGAAGACGACAGAATAATAGTAAAAAGGAATGGCGAGAGGCTATTATAAGCGCCTCCACCCACTCATATTATGTCTAACAATTATAGTTCCGCCTCCTTAAGGCGAACTGTGCTAGAGGGGATTTGAACCCCCGAACTAAGAGGTCTTATACCATGGATGCCAACCAACAAACCGGGGCATGCGACACATACAATATATATATAACCCAAGGGTTGATATATTAAAGATAAAGATACAGATAGGTTTGTATGGGTGGGCCTAAACACCCAACCCACACGGTACAACACACACCAAAAAAATGTAAAGATGGGTGGGCGCTTAAAAAGTGTGGGTTATCTCAATCTAGTCTTGCCTCTGGTTCTAGTTCTCAGTTGTGATCCAGCTAGCAGATTGGTAAGGAGATGACCATTACCCATAGTAACCAAAGTATTATCCATAAGACTCCTGAGCTCTAGTAGATCTTTATTCTTCTTCTTCCTCCTAGAAGTGTAAACCTATCATTTCTCCTTCAAAGAATCCGCTTGATGGGGCAAAGCTGAACCAGAAGGAACAATAGTACCCACAATAGGTTCTACAATATGAGAAATGTGAGTTGCTGCTACACCGGTTACTTCTTAAAGAAATGGAGCTGTGAGGTTCTCCTGATTATCAGTCTGAACACTATCATTTATAGGCAATAGTCCATCAAAATTATTTTGTATGGAGTTTGTAGGTGTCAGCATCGTATCACTCGCAGTAACAGTAACAGCAGTGTCAACAGACACCTCCTGTCTGGTAGTATCATCCTCAGATGGAACTAAAATGTTCATAGCAGTGGGGTTAAACCCATCCTTATCCACTTGACCCTTAGAATTTAAATTATGATGAATTTTGTGGCATTTAGCAAGAATATGACCAAACATCTTACAGTGGGTACAATATAGTGGTTTGTGTTCCATGACGATTTGTTGCCAATAACCATTATGGGTTGTGCCCAATCAGACTTCAGTAACATCTGGTAAAGTAATATCTCTTTCCACAAGTATTCTAGCCACCGAGGATCTAATTAGACTGAGAGTCGGCAAATCTAGTTTCAAAGAATTTCAAAGGATGACCCCA